TTTATATCACAATACCTACATTTAGAGTCGGTTATTCATTCAACCTGATGAGAAACTGTAGAACAGACTCGGTTTATATCACAATACCTACATTTAGAGTCAGTTATTCATTCAGCCTAATGAGAAACTGTAGAACAGACTGAGTTTATATCACAATACCTACATTTAGAGCCAGTTATTCATTCAGCCTAATGAGAAACTGTAGAACAGACTGAGTTTATATCACAATACCTACATTTAGAGCAGTTATTCATTCAGCCTAATGAGAAACTGTAGAACAGACTGAGTTTATATCACAATACCTACATTTAGAGCCAGTTATTCATGCAACAAGCTCAGCAGAAACTGTTAGCCCTGTAGTCTATTGCTGATATGTTAAAGGCAGGCAGCATGGCCGGTTAGCTCAGTTGGTTAGAGCGTGGTGCTAATAACGCCAAGGTCGCGGGTTCGATCCCCGTACGGGCCAGTGGGAATTTTTAGGAATTTACCACATGAATAAAAAGAGATGCAGATTCCAAAGGTTGAGTCCGTACATTTGTGATTGTAAGATGATGATTAGATATATTATTATGAACTTATATTGTAATTATGATTTGTCGTCTTATATTTTTTTTTCTGCTAAGTTATCATGCAGACCAAGCTGTAATTCGTACAGACACGAAACACGATCAATATGTAGTTGTCTTTCCCGACTTGGGTGAGCGAGTGAGCTCGGCCTTATTGGCCTGATGGTGGCGCTGTAGCGAAGTGCTAAACATTTTGGGCCATATCTCCTGAACCTTATGTCATAGAGACAAAGTTCCTTTTCCCCCTGGCTACAAAACGTAAGCTCTGCAAAAAAGCATCAAGAACCATGTAGCTCCACCCTCTTGATTTTGAGAGGTTGGATTTTTTTGGCAGATTTGTCCGATTTTATGTGCAGTCTTGTCCCTTGTCTGCACAAATCTGCACAAAACCTTCAGTCGTGTGCCTAAACATGAACCAAGGCTTAAGAGTTTTGCTGTGAGTACATTACTTATTAAAAACAAAAAAGAGAAAGCACAGCAACCGTAACAGCAGCTTTTAGCTTCACGTGGGTAAGCATTAGCCTTTTTTTAACAAGAAGCAATTTATAGGCTGTAAATGTGTTTTTTTATTAAATCTACAGCAAAAACTAGCAAACTGTACAAAGAACTAGCAGAGCACACCAAGAACTGCCAAACCATACCCAAAACTAGTGTACTACACCGAGAACTTCTAGACCCATGCTAATTTGTGACTACCTGCTTCCATGCATTGTTAGCTTCCATGCCAGTGTTCCTAATGATGAATGGAAAGCTAGTAGTCAGCAGATAGCCATTTGAGTTATGCTAATTGGCGACTATTCAATTTCATTCATGGTTAGCTTGATAACATGATGAAATTTGGGTATGAAGAACTAGCAGACCACACCAAGAAGTGCCAAACTACACCAAAATCTAGCATAATACACAAAACTACCAGGGTACACGAAAACTAAAAAACTGACACCAAAAACTGCTAAAGCATACCAGGAACTACCAAACTATATCAAGAACTGCCAAACCACTGTCGGGACCAAAGACTATCCCCTTCAACCTCAGGCCTCCAACATAATATTATGAATAAAAAGAAATATTTTAATACTGGCTAAACACTTTCACTGATAACTGTTTTAGGTCTAAGTTTCAAAACATGTCAAAAAGGAAAGAGTCTTCAGACGCTGAGTTGGGAAGAGGGGAAAAAGGCTTGTGGCACAGAGAGACTCAACTGAGCAAACAGTGATCCAGCAGTTCATATACCATTTATCTGGGCTGATTCGATATCCGCCCACCTTACTTCTCAGATTTTGTTATTAGCTTATTCTCTAATAGGTGCATCTCTTTGTCCATCAATTTGGTCATTGCATGTTGTGCTCACTCCTAAAAACTGGTTTCAACTGGTTTTTACCAGTCTGCTTACTTTTCAAGGACAACTTGCCCCTCTCTTCACTGGGTCAGTAGGTACACACAGGCCTGTCTGTGAACCCAGGTGCTTTCCAGTGTCTAGAATCTCCTATGCAGACAGACTAAGGCCGACCTTTTGTGAGAGAATTAATATTCTCTGTTAGCCAATAATACCTATTTAGTTATTAATTACAATGTCTAATCTATTTGAAAACTGATTCAAAATATCTGTCACCACACAAAAACTAGCATACCATACCAAGGAGTACCAGACCGCACCAAAAACTGAAAAAACCTCACCAAATACTATCGAACCTCACAAAAACTACAAAATGCCACCAAAAACTAGAAAACTACACCAAGAATGACCAAACTGTGTCAAAAAGAAGAAAACCATACCAAGAACTACCAAACTGCACCAAAAACTAGAAAACCACACCAAGAGCTACCAAACCACACCAAAAACTAGAAAACTACACCAAGAATGACCAAACTGTGTCAAAAAGAAGAAAACCATACCAAGAACTACCAAACTGCACCAAAAACTAGAAAACCTCACCAAGAGCTACCAAACCACACCAAAAACTAGAAAACTACACCAAGAATGACCAAACTGTGTCAAAAAGAAGAAAACCATACCAAGAGCTACTAAACCACACCAAAAACTAGAAAACCACACCAAGAGCTACCAAACTGCACCGAAAACTAGAAAACCCCACCAAGAGCTACCAAACCGCACCAAAAACTAGAAAACCGCACCAAAAACTAGAAAACCACACCAAGAGCTACCAAACTGCACCGAAAACTAGAAAACCCCTCCAAAAACTAGAAAACCACACCTAGAGCTACCAAACCATGTCAAAGGAATCCTAAAACACTAAACTTTAATAACGATCAAACATTTTTTGGAAGAGTATCACTGTGTAGTGTCCAGGCACCCCCCAAAATAGTGGTGGAGCTTATGTTGGTAAAATCACACACATACAGCTTTAACTAAAAACCACCTTGACCACTCATTACGAAACTTTGCAGGCATGTACCCTGGAGGAGTCAAACACAGGGTTTCAGTTGTGCTGCAGCTGGATTGCTAGTGGGCGCTATAACATGCAACAAAATGTTACGCAACAGAAGACTGAGTGAAATTGTGCATTCTGCTGCTGTTCGCTGCCTTGGCTCAGGTTCAGTGAGCCCACCATCATGTGGAAGAAAGCATGGCTGCCATCGGCCAATCAGATTTCAGCAGGAATTTTACAGGCTTGGCTAATCATCACAAAACTCAATATGTATCTCCAGGTAAGGAGACTCTACTAACCTTTGAAGTTTAACAGCTGTCAGCCACTGGTGGGTGCTATGCATGTTTAAAAACACTATAACAAGCAAATTTCATATGTAACGTATGGGTCATTCTACAGAAACGTCCATTTTTGTGTCCCTAGCGTTTACAGATATATCACACTTGAAAAACATGTTAGGATTACAATTTATTTACATTTTAAAATAAAGTTATATCAGCAATTACACCTTCTTGAGCTTCAATTCAGCAATATTGGTTTTTAAATCAGTTATATAGAATTCAAAACACCACAGAAGAGCTCGTCCCCACAGTCGTGTGTAAAGGCTGAGGCCATATTTTGAAGAAAAAAACATGTTTTTCAGAAATTCAACTGCAATAATCTATACATGAATATGAAATATATGAATTAAATGACAAAGAAAACAAATTCCAAATAAATATTATTAAATATATAATGAAAGTTCCACAGGAGTCGTGTCTCTGGTGTTACTGCATAACAAAAAATCTCTTATTTTGAAATAAAAGTCACACTGATGACATCACTCGACTTCCTTTTACCTGTTGTCTGAGGATCTATGAAGAAAAGCTCATAGTGAGTCCACTGTGTCTTTACAGTTATCAGAGATTTTCTCATTTAGCTCATGATTTCATATGAAGCTTTTAGCTGAAGTCACTGGTGTGACCGACTTTATTCTGAGGTAACTGTGAAAAAATAGAATACAAATGGATTAAATTACATATTTTAGTGGATATTCCATGATTGACAACTTGTGGTTTGATGCTCTGTAGCAGGTATTTTTTAAAATGCATTAAAAGGGGGCTAACAAAGTACGCAGAGAAACAGATGGACTACAGTCTGTAACTGTAGAACTACAAAGTGCACCTATATAGTAAGTGGAGCAGATAAAATGGACAATGAGCGTAGAAACAAGGACACAATGTTATGCCTGATCGAGGTAAATGAAATGTGTAGCAAAACAATAGTAATTGTGTTCTTCATTTCAGTTAAATACTAAAGGCATTGTGGGGTAAAATGGAAGAATAAAGATTAATTTTATTAAAACATTTTTTTATTTATTTAATATAACGGCTTTCCCATAGTTAGGGTTAAATATTGTCCCGCCCCCAAACTTTCATCACTGTAACCCTTTAAACAACATTTTAGAGAGAAACAGAACATCAGAGTAAGAGAAACAGGACAGGAGGTGCGGACTGTCTCTGAGTGCTGATTGGCTGAGAGTGAGGTGGGCGGAGCCTCCGGTCAGCTGGTGCTGAGTGTCGGTGCTCTCTAGACAGCTGACGGTCAGAATAAACAAACACTCCATCGGCAACATCAAAGATGAACACCTGTCAGTTCATTGTGCTCAGAGGGTCAAAGGTCAGGCACTCAGACCTGTGGTGTTTGTAGGTCAGATGAGGTGCTGAGATACATACATGTGTGTATATATATATATATATATATATATATATATATAGACACTTAAATATATGATACATAGGAGACGTATTATTACTACAGGTATTTGCATGTGTGTAATAAATATGGGGACCTTGAGTCCTGACATTGCATAAAAACATGAGTGTGTGTGTCTTAGGCATGCAGCTGGTCATTGCTGGGTGATTTATTCTAACAGGTTTAAAACAGCTCTGCTTTAACGAGAAAGCCTTCCAGAGCACTACAGTCTTCTTTACTTGGGTCCCTGCGGACGCCGAGGGGCCGGCGCGGTTATCTTTAGCCCTTGTTCACACATACACTCAGCGTCCACTGCAGTTTACACTCACAGTCATGAGGAAGCAGACGGACGCTGGAGATCAGGCACAGAGATCTGAAGGGAATTCACTTTTCACTGCAAACTACTGAGCAAAGCCTGGAAGTGTTTACTTCACCCCTCACTGGACAACAGTCAGACAGCGGGAATACTGGACTTCTGTTATCAGCCAGTTACCAACATTTCATAGCATTTCAGCGAGAGTGGAGATTTAAAGAATTTTGCTCTGGATGTACATTTTCACCCAATTCTGAAACTGCTTTTTCTACTTTGCCAAAAGTTACGTCAAATAATTTTGTTTTTTTTTTTTTGAAGATGCAGTCTGATTTGAATGCTTGACGGATTACGTTAGACCATTTTTTAAGTCCACAATAACACATTTTGCTCTGGAAGATTATTTTTGGTAAAGAATTCAAAGATTATTTTGCCAAAACAGAATTTTTTTGGAAACGATTCGATTTTCAGTGGATTAGTTTTTCTGTTTAGATCACTTAGATGTAATTTTTTGTGTTATTTTGTTAACAAACAGGACTGGACAGTTACACATTTTGTTCTGGAAAAAAATTTTTAGGTGAGGAAACCAAAATTTCTTCTGTTCGCAACTTTTAAAAGCTCTTTTCTGTGGAACTTGGGTACAGTGCATGATGGATTACTTTGCGTTCACTCAGAAAATGATTTTTTAAACCCATTTTGGAGCAACATTTTAAAATTGAAATTTTGTTTTGGAAGTACGTTTTGGTGAGTAATCTGAAATTCCTGGCGTTCTCAAGATTTTTCAAGTTCACATTTTTTTGTTTTTTATGGATTACTTTTTTCTATTTTCTATTTTTCCTGCTCTCAAATAAATAATTGTTTGCATTTACTTTAAAATTCAGTTTACAAGTAACAGAATTATACATAATTTTACAATAACTCAACAAGATCAGACTTCTTTTCTCTGGGAAAACAATTTTAGTTGAGGAATAAAAAAAAAAATCTATTTTTGCCAAATTGTACTTTATATATTTTCCTGAACCTTTTGGGTGCTAACAGCACCCCCTCCCTCCCCCACCAACCTCCAATTATAGCTTTTCACCAAGCAGTACTTGAAAAGTATCACAAAGTAGCTTTAGTATAAATCAGCAATGCAGAATTGAAAGGTGCTATAAACTGCAGCAAAAATCCTTATAAAAAATGTATACACCAGAATGAAATTAAGATATAATAAAACAATCAAGGAACACTTAAAATGGGTTCATGAAACTGTATTTTAATTAAAAGCAAATGCAAAAAATGTTTTTAGCCCAGATGCAAAAACCACTACAGTAACCAAATTAAAAAAATTAACGAGTAGATTTTTCTCTTTTAAAAGTCTTTTTGTAAATAATACAGCAGTATGCTACGCACTTCACGTACGTTAAACTTAGTACATTCATTCAAACATAAAGATAATGTGGTAAATAAATGTTGAAGTTAAATAAGTGTTAAATTTGCTACTGTCAAATTTTGAGCTGTTCTAAAATTCAAAACAGCTATTTCTTGTTCTTGCTGTTGAAAAGCCACCTGGACTCAAATTTTTGTTTTTACAAAGGCATTTGATCATCTTCACAACTACTTTACAACAGTTCCTCACTGCAGAAATTTACAGTTGTATGCAAAAATTTGGGCACCCCAGCCAAATGACAATTTTGTTAGTATTTGAAGTTAAAAGAAGTGAACAATTTTTGATTTGATGTTTCATTTTCTTCTGATTCTAAATAAATACTAGTGATTTCTTGTGTAACTATGTTTTATCACCTGTCTGTAAAGCACTTTGAGCTGCCATCGGCATGAAAAGTGATACATAAATAAAAAAAATATATATATTATTATTAACAAAACCTTTGTGGCTAAGTATTTAAAAAATAATTTTCTTCAAATGTTAATGAACAGTTACTTTGTATGTCATTAATTCAAAAAATAGTAATGGTGCTCTGTTACATGGTAGAGCTTGCAAACACTTTCTGTAGTCAGCTAGGAGTCTTTATATTCTTGTTTTTGGAATTTTTACCCACTCGTCCTTACAGAACGCTTCTAGTTCTGCAACATTTTTGCATGCACAGCATGTTTAAGATCCACCCACAGATTTTCAATGACGTTTAATTCAGGTGACTGTGAAGGTTATGCTAAAAGCTTCAGCTTGCATGTCTTGAAGTAGTTCATGGTGAATTTTAAGGTATGTTTTGGATCATTGTCCTGCTGTAGAAGCCTCTTTTCAGCTTTTGTTTTTTTTTTGACTGGCTGTGTCACGTTTGCTTCCAGAATTTGTTGACATTTAGTGGAACCCATTCCTCCATCTACACATGCAGTGTTTCCTGAGCCATTGGCTGCCGCACAACCCCAAAGCATAATAGATCTATCCCCCATGCTTGACCGTTGGCACGGTGTTTCTTTCATCAAATGCTGTTGCTTTTTTTTCTCTTTAACGTACCGTTTCTCATTGTGATAGAATGTGATGAATATCTGAATAGTGACCCAACAGTATTTGGAATGACTAATTGAGTACCCAAATAAATGTGCACACTCCTAACTTCTACAACAGAGGTGTAAACGGAGTGCAGATCAGGCTTAAGATCAAGATCTCTGATACTGGTCCAATAAAATATGCCTCAAAGTCTTTCCGATAGGACTAGGATGTTCCTAACATGAACAAATGTTTTCTGGCTCACAGACTCACCCGGGACTCACCATGCTGGTCTTTTGTGCCACGGTTTTGCTGGCACTCTTTGGACCAGTGAGATGCGACTACTCCAGTGATGAGCCGCAGCCCGCTGGGATAAAGAAGGAACCGAGTCAAGCTACAATAGGCAAGATTCTCCAACACTAGCAAGAATAACACTAAACTGCCTAGGAAATTGCATAATGTTAGCAAAAGGCACCAAAAAGTGTTTTCATGAAGCTTTGTTACAATAGCGGAACCCTTTTTTTGATGCTATATAGAACCATTTGTAAGATATTATTCAAAGAACAATGTACAGCAAGTTCTCCATAATGAAGAAGAACCACTAAACCATGCAAAGAATCATTAAAATTGATCCTACACTGCTTTGAATTGTCATAGTTCTATATGTAACTATTGAATTTACAGAAGAACCCTTGAAGAACCCCCCTTTGTTAAGGGAGTACATATAGATTGCTAGCAGAGGGGTCCTATACTGCTCTAAAAAAGCTTCTGTGGCTTGAAACAATAGCAGAACCTGTTTTAAAAGGTTCTATAGCAAAGAGGCTTCGGTACAGTATCAACACAGTTTTATGAAGGTTTTATAAAAGAACAGAATCATTTTAGTTTGTTATAGAACCATATATAACGGGTTCTCCTTCATGGAGAAAACCAGCCAAACAGCCATTCAAATGGGCTTAAAATGGTTTCAAATGGTTCTTTGAGTTGTCGTGGTTCTGTTCGTAGCCACTGCCTTTACTACGGAACCCTTTAAAAACTTCTTTAAGGGGGTTAGCGAAAAGGGTCCCGTACAGATCATTAAAAAGGCTCTTTGTTTTTAGAAGGTTCTTTAACTAATTTTAAAAGGGTCTAAAAGGGACCCTAGATGATCCACATTTTGGGGGCCCCTGAGGACCACGGCTTTAAAGAAAACAGGTTCTGCGTTATGAAGAAGAAGCATTTAAGCATTCAGCTGATTCTTTGGGTTGTCTTGGTTCTGTACATAACCGTTATGTTTACTAATGAACCCTTGAGGAACCTTGATTTTACGTTTTTCAACACATTGATGTTTAAAGCTTTAAAGCAATAGTTTGGTGCTGTGCTTTCCTTGTCCAAAGCTATGAGGCTAGTAGAACTAAAAACTAAGGGGAAATTATACCCCCTCAGTTAGCATTGTGCTAACTGCATGCCTAAATCATGAGCTGGAGGTGCTCAGTAATCATTGATAGACTTTTAAAAGATTATTAAAAGATGATGTGGTTTCTGACACTGTATGACCATTATATATAAACATGACTAAAGTTTGTTAGCATAGCTAAATACAGATGTTTAGCCCATGTTTATAGATAAAAGTGTGTCATAGAGCATCAGAAACCACATCATCAAGTCTATTAGAGATACTGAACAAGGTTTGAGTTGAATATGTGATGAGTTAGGCCTGCAGTTAGCACAATGCTAATTCTGTGACTAATATCTTCCATTACTTGTTAGCTACATTAGCCTCGTAGCTCCAGTGCAACACTAAAGACCCAAACTTAAGACACCAAACATGTCCTAGCTGATCCACTACATTTGAGGTAGGATGGTCGTGGCTGCGGTGGAGGGATCGGCCAAATTGCTTTAGAATGTGCTACAACCTTGGCAGATCAATGACCCCTGTGTGTGACCTTTGACCCCAGATGCGTGCCTGCAGGTGACTCCTCCGTGTGTGACGGAGGCGGACCGCTTCAGCCTGGAGGCTCTGCGCCACATCCACCGCGAGATGGACGATGACCAGGACGGAGGGATCGAGGTGGAGGAGAGTGTGGAGGTAACCAAAGGAGAGAGAGAGATACTACATAGCCTTGCAGTCTCCATAGACGAACACTGGCAGTAGAGTGGCCTGTGCTGAAGAGCTCAGTGACTTTAAACATGGCACTGTCATAGGAGGGTAAGTCAGTGTGTGAAGTGGCTGCCCTGCTGGTGCTGCCCTGGACAACTGTAAGTTCTGTTATTGTGAAATGGAAGTGCCAAGAAACAACAGCTCAGCCACGAAGCGGTAGACCACACGAACTCACAGGGGTGGAGCCCGAGTGCTGAAGTGCATGGCACGTAAATATTGCCTATCGTCTTTTATACAACAGTTAGTTTGGCCATGTGAGCTGATTGGTTGAGAAGCGTTCTAACTATGCTGTTATTTCGCCATAACATCACAGGTTTTTCACAAACACTATCACTCCGCTGAGACGGCGTTGCTAAGCAACGACTTTGACAGCTGTAAGAGACGCTTGAACATTTTTACGTCTTACTTTGCCACGAACAGAAAATGGACACTTTTAAGATCACATTTGACCGACAGCTGATTTGGTCAGACTCTGAAGATGAGACGACACTAAATTCCCAAACTGTCATCACCACTGAGCAGCTTTTCAGTCGGCAGCTGTGACAGAAGAACAGCTAAACAACCTGGAATCAGCCAGAAATGAACCCAACACCATTCGCCAAACTAAATGGGCTGTAAGATGCTTTACAGACTGGCTGGAACAAAACAACATTAATACTGATCTGGCAAAAACTGACAAAACTGAGCTAAACCTGATATTGCGGCAGTTTCATGGCTCAGTCCGATTTGGTCAGACTCTGAAGATCAGACTACACGTTTGGCGAATGGTATTGGGTTCATTTCTGGCTGATTCCAGGTTGTTTAGCTGTTCTTCTGTCACAGCTACCGAATGAAAAGCTGCTCAGTGGTGATGACAGTTTGGGAATTTAGTGTAAGGAGCTGGAGAACGAACTGCCGGCTGTGCAGCGAGTGGGCGGAGCTCGTTACTCTGACGTAGCAACAAGCTGTTGTTAAGGAACTATAATTTGGTGAAGGAACGGCGAACATTAAAACATGTTAAACTCCGCGTTCACGGCCCAGTTTATTAATTTATTACTTCATTTATTTAACTGTTGTATAAAAGCAATAGAACACTTGAGGTTGTATGTTATCACAGCCGTGATGTTATCTTGTGATAACACACTCCCTCTCATGTTCTGTTGCTTAATTGTTATTATGAAATGAGTGTATATATTATATAGTTAAACTGAGTATTTGAAAAAAAATATGGCACTTTCTAGGAATTTCAACCGGCCCCCCTTGGAGAAGGTCACCTGTCTTGTGGTCTCCATGTTATTTGAGTTTGAGACCCCTGGTGTAAAGCATGTAGTAGCAGTGTAGTGTCCAACAAGAGCTTGAACTGCACACATTACCAACAAACTTGAAGAGCGCAGTCAAAAGTTTGGACCCATTTGATTTGAATGTAAGTTTTTCATAATCTTAAACCCCGTTGGACCTGGATTACTTTTATCTGGAGAGGTGCTGCAATTTGAGTAATTACCAATGAAATTTTAATCCAAATCTGCAGTATCTGTAGTTTTTCTCCAAGTCTGCAGAGTAATAGTTCCAGAGTGAATTGCCTTCTGTAACTGACTGAACCCAGAGCTCCCCCAGTAACAGTAGTCCTGTTCAAATCAATGTCACAGTGATGTTAACAAAACTAGGGTAAAGCGCTGCGACAGTTTTGCTGATGGCTGAATTCCAAAGAGAAGGAAAATATATCTTGAATATCTCGAAAGTTTCTCTCACAAGGCAGTGTATTTTCTGTCTTGTTGGGCGGCATTTTCTAAGTTTCACTTTAAGTTTGCATCCAGTGTCACATTTTGGGCTTCATTTTGCCAGCAACTATTGATGTGAACATCCATATTTGGGGTAATTTGGGGAAATTACACAGATCCTGTACGTATCAGCCAGTCAAATCATACACAGTTTACATTACTGGAGCTCCTCTGCTAAAACTAGCCCTATTGGAGCTGTTAATCCAGCTCCAATAGGGGCTTTACAAACATTTGGATATAATGTTGAAATGCTTAAAATTAGTTTCTAAAGTCCTGCTGGAGCTGGATAAGTTTTACCTGGTGAGGTGCCATAATTTGAGTGATTACCGACGAGATTTAGGATTTTAAGTTAAATTTAGTTTAAGTTAATTAAGTCAAACTCTAGACAGCCATTAAGCATGAAGATCTCAGGTGGGTCCTCGTGAAGCTGCTTGAGAGAACAATCAAGAGTGTGAAAAGCTGCACCAGGGCAAAGAGGACATGCTGAAGAATCTAGACCACTTCATCACTGATTTTGGACTTGTTTTTGGTCACCTCCTTCGTGTTGTTTCATAGTTCTGATGTCTTCACCGTTGCTCTAAAAGCCTCGTGTTCCCATTAGTGGACGTGGATAGTGACCAACGGAGCTGGTTCTTGGTCAGCATGAAAGCAGACGCTGTGTATCTGGGTGGGATTGGGTTTCTCGCACTGGTCACTATAGCAACAGGTGAGGGGGGCTGAGATGAAGGACATGCCGGAGGCCATCACATGGAGGGTCCTGTTACAGGACACATTCCAAGACACACGAGTGTCCACAGTCTTTCACAGCCAGTCAGTCATGCTCTATCTCTGTTTTTCTGACTCACTGTGAAACTGATTCACTCTCGCAAACACACAAACACCATCTTTGTCTGAAAAACATGCAAAAGACCCATCATTTCCTCAGGCATTTGTACTCAAATAGTGAAATCTCTGGCTGTTTATTTAAATGTGTGTGAAAGTGGAACAGTGCAAGAAATTCACACATACAATTGGTTTACTTTTCTTAAGTAAAAGAGTTTAACTGCTTCACAGCCCAAGGCTGGCGGTCTTTATACCCCTCTAGCCCATGCTTGGCATTGGGCATGGTGACCTTAGGCTCATTCTATTGGTCAGTGCTTTTCTATAGAGATTATACAGGCAGAACGGGGCAGAATTCACTCATTAGAAGGACTGTCTGGATACTTTTAGACATAATACAGTGCCCTCCACAAATATTGGCATCCCTGGTAATCATGAGCAAAATTAGCTATAAAACATTCTTAATTACTAATCCCTTTTGATCTTTCATTCAAAATGTTAGGAAAAATCTTACCTTTATTTAAGGTATAATGACTGTAAGAAAAATATAAATCTGATCTATAAATGTTTTTCTTAAATCTGTGTGCGCCACAATTGTTTTCGTCTAGAAATTCTTAAGAGTGAAATGAAGTATATTCCCATTCATATTTATGATTTAAAGTTCACCTGAGTGATAAAGAACACTTAAATGGTCAGCCATGACTTCCTAATTCACTGGGGAATATATATAAGATGAAACACAGGACAAATTCCCTCAGTCACTCATCACTTTCAGAAAGACCAGAGAAAACAGCAACAATGTACAGCTGCACAAATCAGGAAATGGCTATGAGAAAGTGGCTTAACAGTTGAAAATAGCCCATTTTTCACTATCAGGGCAAGAATTAAGAAGTTTAAAAACAACTGGAGATGTTCAGAATCTGCCAAGAAGAGGACATATATCTGTACTGACCCCACACACAGTGAGGAGGATTGTTCAGTTGGACAAAGAATCTCCAGGTGGGGAACTGCAGACATTAGTTAGGTCTTGGGGTCACAACGTCTCCCAAACCACAATCAACCACCGCCTATACAACCACAAGTGTTTTTGGAGGGGTTGCAAGAAGAAGGCTTCTGCTATCAAGGACCAGTAAACTCAAACACCTACAGTTTGTCAGACTTTATCGGAACGTTTCAGTGGGACTGTGTTCTGTGGTCAGATGAGACCAAAATAGAGGCAACAAACACCAGATGTGAGTTTGGAGTGGACACAAAGATAGATATGCAGAAAAGTATCTCATCCCCAGTGTGAAGTATGGTGGTAGGTCTGTGATACTGTGGGGCTGTTTTTCTTCCAAAGGCCATGGGCTGTTTATTTGGATACATGATATCACAGACTCCATCAAGTGCCAGCAGAAATAAACTGGGCCATATTTTGGATCTTCCAGCAGGACAATGATCCAAAACACACCTAAAAATCAACACAAAAATGGTTCGCTGATCACAGAATGAAGGTTTTGCCTGTGAGATGAGCTGAAGAAGAGAGTCCACAGTGTGAATCTGAAGGATCTGGAGAGGTTCTGTGTGGAGGAATGGTCTTACATCCTTTGTCATGTGTTCTCCAGTCTCACTAAGCATTATAGGAGAAGACTTAGAGTGGTCACAGAGTATTAAATGAAGGGGTGGCAATAATTGTGGCACACAGATTTGAGAAAAAAATATTTACTTATTGAAAAGATTGTTTTTTTCCAATCATTTTACTACAAAAAGGTTAGACTTTTGTTAATATTATGAATGAACGATCAGAAGGATCAGCAATAAAGAATGTTCGTTACAGCCTGTTTTGCTCATGTTTACCAGGGGTGCCAATGTTTGTGGAGGGCACTGTAGCTGTTTTTGTTGTAGAATTTGTAGTGATGTGTGTGTTGTACTCTCCCCTGTGCCCGTAGTTCATTATAGAGGACATGCAGCAACAGCAGCAGACCAATAAGCACAGTAAACTGCATCAAGAAGACCAGCACATCACGGTGGAGGAGCTGTGGAGAGGCTGGAAGTCCTCAGAAGGTACATGTTTGTGTTGTGCAAGAGGCCTATATCATGGAAAACTGGATGTCATGGCCACTTTATCAGAAACACTTTGTACCTCCACTCCCTGGCCACTTTATTAGAAACACCTACCTTGTACTTCCTCTCACTGGCCACTTTATTGGAAACACCTACCTTGTACTTCCTCTCACTGGCCACTTTATTAGAAACACCTACCTTGTACTTCCTCTCACTGGCCACTTTATTAGAAACACCTACCTTGTACTTCCTCTGACTGGCCACTTTATTGAGGCCACTTTATTAGAAACACCTACCTTGTACTTCCTCTCACTGGCCACTTTATTAGAAACATCTACCTTGTACTTCCTCTCACTGGCCTTTTTATTAGAAACACCTATCTTGTACTTCCTCTCACTGGCCACTTTATTGGAAACACCTACCTTGTACTTCCTCTCATTGGCCACTTTATTAGAAACACCTATCTTGTACTTCCTCTCACTGGCCACTTTATTAGAAACACCTACATTGTACATCCATTCACTGTGTAACTTATTAGTAACACCCCTATTATAGTCCACTACATAGGCGTACATTTAGAGGTTAAGCATTGTCCATTACCTTAAAATGTCCAGCCAAGAGCAGCTCTGTGGTCAGAAACTACTCCCTGATAATAGACTAGAGGATGGATAACAAAAAAAGTAAGGAATAATAGGGAATCTCTCTCTCTCTCAGTCCATAACTGGACTCAGGAGGATGTGCTCTGCTGGCTGCGGGAGTTTGTGGAGCTGCCGCAGTACGAGAAAAGCTTCAAAGAGCTCCGCGTCAATGGAAACACCCTGCCCAGGTGAGATAAACCAATCAGAAGCCTGCATCTGCAAAATCTGTATTGGTCAGGTGATGTCAGGGGCGCACCCAGGAAATGATTTCAGGAGAGGTGAGAAAATACTCTTAATCCAGATGAATCACAGTGTGATTAACCCTAAACTGATCATTGTGACTTGCTTTGAGTCGATACCTCACGTAGTGGTGTTTAGAATTCGTCACTGAATTCTTTGACACTTGTTCTACCATCAGCCACCTTGCTTAATTAATACTGTTACAATTTTAAAAGAAATACCTTTTTGACAGTAATTTGGATTACAACTTAAAGGCTACCTACATAGGCACTTCATAACAAGTACTTGTATCATGTATGTGTTAGGAAGTACCTATGTAGGTAGTATGTATGTGTTCAATGGCAATACCTGAAAATAATCAGCTCATATCACTACTAGCAAGATGTTTTATGAAAGAAATGACATTGTATTGACATAAGGGGCCTTAAACTTAAGTAACAAACATTTCTACCATTTTTAACACTGTTATGAAGCATCATTGCCAAGTAATGGAATGTATAAGTCAGAGGCTTAGTCAATAACACCATGTATACATTTTTATTTTGTTGCCTTCGAACTAATCAGTTTTTTTTCATATGTATGAAGATGCAAGACTTTTGTACCCAAGTAAAATGCTGTTGGTACTCCAGTAAAAGTTAAAATTCCCTGTTAGTATTTCTACTTTAGTACAATAGATATAAGTACAAATGAATACATAGATATTGTGCTTTTTTTGGTGAATCATTCTCGCTACTTTAGAATGCACTGTTAGTTGTTCAGATGTGAAGCTAGTCTTTTTAATAGAATTGTACTTTTGCACTTTTTGTAACCCGAGAAGAAATATACAAACACAATTCCAAAAGAGTTGGGACAGTGTGTGAAATGTTTATAAAAACAGAAAGCAGTGATTAGTAGATTCTGTTTGACCTATATTAAATTGAAAACAGAGCAAAAACAGAATATTTGATGTTTTACCGCATGAATTAATTGTTTTTGTGAATATGCGCTCATTCCAAATTTGCCTGTAACACATTCCAAAAAAGTCGGTACAGGAGGAACTTTACGCTGGTCCTTTTGTTCTTTGGCCAGGAAAACACAACATCCACTATTTCCATAAATGATCTAAAAGGTCAACTCAGCAGGCCACAATACATGTTTCCACTTTGCATTAGTCTATTTCAGATGAGCTTCAGCCCAGAGAAGTCGGCGGCGTTTCTGAACATTAACTTCCAGAGCGTGTGTGGTGATATCCATCACAGAAACATGTTGGTTTTTACTGCAGTGCTGTCTGAGGGGTCGAAGGTCACGAGCATTCAGTCGTGGCTTTTGGCCTGTTCCTTTATGCGTAGAGATTTCTACAGATTCCCTGAATCTTTTGATCATGTTTTGCACCTTTGAGGGTGAAATATCCAAAATCCATGCCGTCCCTGTCTGAGAAATGCAAGTTTTAAACTGTTGGATTTTTTTGCTGATGCCTTTTTGGTGAAGAAGTCTCAACCCATCCTTGCTCATAAACGACCCGGCCTTTCCTGGATGCTCCTTTTGTACCCAAGCATGATAACATCAGCTCTTTTAAACTGTTTTCTGAACATTTCGCAGCATTTCTAGTTTTAAAACACTTCTTTGGAACGTGTCACAGGCATTATTTTCTGAATTAGCTTATATTTCCAAAATTGATAAAACATGTAATATCTTGTCTTTGTACTGTTTTTGATAGAGATCAAAGTAGATTTATGGTAGATTTATAAATCACAGCTTTCTGTTTTAATTAGCCTTTCACATACTGTCCCAATATTTTTGAAATTGGGTTTGTATTCATAGAACTAATAAATGGCGTTTTTAACCAGGCATCTACATTATAATAGTCAATAGATCATACAAAGTCATTTACATCATAAAACATCACGAGTCATTTTACGATTACAGGCATGAGCAGTTTATAGATATTCAAGTTTTGCTTTACAAATATGTTATTCAGTGCTTATGCATGTGTTATAAAATCACTGTATGTAGCTAAATCTTACTTAGAACTCATATATGAAATTCGTGACTACGAATTAGCTGTGAGTGATGCTGTGTAACAGTAATATAAATTGAAATTAAATTGTCAATACAATAATGCTTTATTAGTACATTATTCAGTGCTTATGCATGTAATATGTCCCTATGTCCCCAGTCTTTTCTCAAATGCAAATGTATGAGGAAAAGAAATGCTATTTACTTTGCACCCTGTCCCCCAAAAGTATTTGGACAGTAGTGCCATGTTGTGTTTAATGTTTTGGGATAACGCATTGTGTTGATAAGATAATAATTTTGATGATAATTTGCAAACGTCTGCATTTTTGCCTCCAAAATATCTTTGTACACTTTTGAGCTCATGATCCCATCAATGAACACAAGCTCATTCCACTTTTGACTGTTTTACAGTAGCCTTAGTGCAGCCTGGTTGGGGTTCTTCTCCAGGCTCTCTCCACACAAGGAATCCCACCATCAGTGCGATGTGCTAAAAGTGTTTTTCTCTAAAATAAATGTCAGTTTGTTAAACATTTTATGAAATAACCTAAAGAACTTCATTAAAGTTCATTAAAGTGTCCAAATACTTCTCTAAATGACTTATAAACATGAATCACAGAAAAGTCTACATACTCTACTTTCACCCTCTTCTTTGCACTGACAGCTTCTTCTGACCATCAAAATGTGCAGAATGACTAAGCTCATCAGGTCAATTTCTCTCGCACCCAGGATTGCGTCCAACGAGCCGTCGTTTATGAGCACCTACCTGAAGATCCAGGACCAGCAGCACAAGCACAAGCTGAAGCTCAAGGCTTTGGATGTTGTGCTGTTTGGACCGCCCACCAGTACGTACCAACAAAAACCAGCCCAATTCAAGAGCTGTTCCATCAAGAGATCTTTGGTTAAAAGCTCAAAATGCTGACATGCAGCTAGTTATGGCTGAGTTATTCTTAACCCCTTAAAATACCAGACTTCTTACATACTAAGGGCTATTATTCAGTACCTACAGAGACTTCAGTGCAAACTGGTTGAACTATTCTTAGATTATAGAAGTGTATAATAAAACTGGCCATGTAAGGGTTAAAGTATCCTCCTCAGTCTCAATACTGGACAATTTAAAAACAAATTATGATTTGTTATGAAATACACCAGTCAGACGTAACATTATGACCACCTCCTTGTTTCTACGCTCATTGTCCATTTTATCAGCTCCACTTACTATATAGGTGCACTTTGTAGTTCTACAGTTACAGACTGTAGTCCATCTGTTTCTCTGCATACTTTGTTAGCCCCCTTTTACCCTGTTCTTCAGTGGTCAGGACCCCCATGGACCCTCTCAGAGCAGGGACTATTTGAGTGGTGGATCATTCTCAGCACTGCAGTAACACTGACGTGGTGGTGGTGTGTTAGTGTGTGTTGTGCTGGTCTGAGTGGATCAGACACAGCAGTGCTTCTGGAGTTTTTAAACACTGTGTCCACTCACTGTCCACTCTATTAGACACTCCTACCTTGTCAGTCCACCTTGTAGATGTAAAGTCAGAGACGATAGCTCATCTGTGCGGTTGGCTGATAAGATGGACAATGAGCATAGAAACAAGGAGGTGGTCATAATGTTATGCCTGATTGGTGTAATATTACACATATTATATACATTTTATACACTGGCCCAACATCGTAGACAGAAATAATGTTCAGTTTGTTGTTTGTAATGCCGATGATATATATGTTTATCTTTCAAAAACTTGCAGATTTAATGTGCCTAATTCTAGTGTCCAGTATACTGGGCAGTGAAATCCATTGAAATTAGCCCCAAATTCATAGAATATCATCTGCTGTCACTCCTAAATAAACATAGGATTCTTCCTTTAACAAAATAAACATAAATCCTGAATGACTGCATTGTGTAATCAAAGCATGGTTTACTACACTGAGTCCAACTGTCCAGATTACTGGACATTACAATTGATCAGTGTTTCATTTGGTTTTGGAGGCGGTGAGTGTTATAGCCCGCCAGCTGCCGTATTTGTTTTTGTTATAGACAAAAGAAAACATTCTATAAAATGATCAAGCAATAGGAAGACTGAGTTCTGTACAAACACACAGGAGTGATTGTGGTGATATACCTGCTTCTGTAGAGCTACAATACCTGGAATAAAAATATTAAGTACACTGGACATTCAGAATGAGGAGGTTATAGAAGTAATAGAAGTCTACAACCGGCTGCAGACCCTGACCATTTAAGTTAACTTGCCCACGTTATTAAAATAAGAGATATAGGAACCTGAAAAAATTAATTAATTAATTGTTAGTAGAAAATTTTGTTGGAATCTAATTTCAGCTCCTAAATTTCTCAAAAACATCAAGCCAATTGGTTCTTTCTACAATCCAGCTGTTTTGAAGGAACCCTAGGCGTTCTCTTTGGGTACATGTTTATAGAACGTAAAGCAGTAGAAGATCAGCCTTCAGTGACACGACTGAAGGTAAGAGCAGCCAGCTTGGCCTCTAAGAACCTTGGCTATTTTAATGTCATTGGTAAATATAGCTCGTCATATTTAAGGCACTACTTTGACAACCTGTCGAGCCAACTGAATCTCTGAGCCAACTGACCAGCAATCCCTCTTTTCAGTACTTAACCCTGGACACATATAGTTCAATTCTAATCACCGAATGGTTCATAAGCAAAACGAATAATTTGGCCAAAATTTTACGCCAAATTTTACTCCAACCTAGAGTGTAGTAGATCAGTCAAGACATGTTTGGTGTCTCAAGTTTGCTTCTAGCACTGGCTGCAAGGCTAAGGTGGCTAACACATAATATAGCTTATATTCCACCAATTAGTATTATGCTAACTGCAGATCTTCACTTCAAGCTGTCTCTGTAGTAATCTCTCATTAACCCCTGGGTCTTGATGAGTTCAGTGTGCTCCGATTGGTCACCTCACCCCTTTTGTTCTGATTGGTCAAAAGCCAGAGTTGTTCCACTCCTACATGTTCTGCCCCTGTCTAGCAGTCTGCAGACAGACCCTAGCAGGCCTGACAAAAGGATGTCAAAGGGTCTTCACTGGAATTTGAGGCCACAACCAGGCAGTTCTCAGATCTGCGTTTTTTAAGCTGTGTTTTATTATATTTCTTGTTTATTTCATGCAAACTTTTCTGGATGTTTAATATAACACTGCCTTTTAGAATCATATGACCATATTTAATATTTTACACATAGAAATCTCTCATTAGCTTATGTTCAAATTTTTTATATCAAAGGATTTTAAGGATTCCCTTAAGAACTTTCCAAAGGATGGTATTGAAAGAGTCAATTTTTTAAAATGAGAGTGTGATTATGAGTTCAAAGCCCCAGGGATTCTAAATCTATGATTTCTCTCTAATTGAGTTAATCTTGCTTTTGTTGGCTCCTAATATATACATAAAAGTGTGTATACATGTACAAAATTTCTCCTATGAATAACTTTCCATTGCTAATAGATCTCCTTCAAAATTCTCCTGTTTCGATTTAAACTGGGCGTTCCTAATCTTGGGTCATGCTTTCATAAGCACTGCCCTTACCAATCATTAGGCTGATGTAACTTGTTCTGCTCACACAGCTTTAATGAAAGCTGTGTTTTTCTCACGGTCAGTTTTTAAGTCAAAGAGAAAGCTAAACAATAGGGATAAATGAGCTACTAAACAAGCTCATCTGTCTGCCTGCCTGTGGCCTGTTTGTTTGTTTGTTCATCCAATCAGCAATGCCAGCATTCCATGTATGCATTACATGCTTCAATCTTCCAAAAACACATTTTTCTCAATTCACCCTCTGTCTAAAACACTCCAATAGAGCTCCTGTGTCTTTCGACGAGTCTGATTTTTGACTGATGCTCTGATTAGTCATCTCACCCATTTTGTTCTGATTGGTAAAAAAAGAAAGCCAAAGTGGTTCCGCCCCTGTTTTGCGGTCTGCAGACAGACCCTATTCTCCTGAGCAGCTGTAAACACTGCTGGGGCTATTTTTCCAACAGTGTCAGTTCTGCTGAATCAGTTTGATCCAGAATCCGGTCCTGAAAGTCAGGTCAGCGTCTTCTCCACACGGCTACAAAACTGGACAAACCCTTCATGGCCGCCAGTAGTTGCTGGGTGTAGTGTGAGGGTGTGTCGAGCTTGCTGGTAGGCTGCAGTAAGGATCGTGTTACAAGATTGCATCATGTTGTAACAAGGGAAAAGGATTGGAATTCCAACATTCCAGGCAGCTGAGAAAAGTGGTTTCTATTGGAGTTATTAGAGTTTCTCCCTCTGCCATGTACTTTGGGCTTTGTAACTCTACAGACTGTTACATGCACAAAAAGCTACATCACACTAAAAGAAAGGAAAGAAAAACAGAAAAGCATGTTGGCTCCCCTTTAAGGCATCACCATATGAAAGCTAGATAATGTTTTTAGTAAGTGGACACAGCAAGGTCTACAGCACCACCTGTATATCGTCGCTGTCCAATAAAAAATATGTATCTCCATTTTTTGCAATTTTTACTTATCTGCATCATCACCGCTTCATTGTTCTGTTTTGTTTTGTTCAACATGAGTGGCATAGCAGGCTGAACCAAAAGATACACAGCGTCCCAACTTTTTTGGAATCCGTGTTGTAGATAGCAGTGTAGAAACCACATATCATCCAAATCATCATCCAAAGGAAAACAAGTATCTCCAAAATAGTGACTTTACAGGAGAGGACAAAAACACTCTAACCTTTCAATGTAAGTTAATGTAAAGAGATTTTATTCCAAGTGATTTTAGAGCATTTCTATTGGTCCATTCATCATGAAATTTTCACACAACATAAAGGACAGCTGGTGTGATGAAATGATGTAGAAAAATAAAAATCGAGATATGGAGATACATCGTTTTCATTGGACAGCGACGATATGCAAGTCTATTTGCTTGCGGTAATGGGGAAACTGTATAAGGAGTTCCCTTATATCAGGTCAAATGTGAAACGTGTTGACCTCCAGTATTGTAGCTGAGAACCAATGGTCAGCATAAAGAGATATTTGCAAAGCTTAGAAACCTTATGCTTCCTCATCTGTTTGTCGTCCAGGGCCACCACACAACTGGATGAAGGACCTTCTGCTGATTGTTTCCGTGGTGATGGGGGTTGGGGGCTGCCTGTTTGCCCAGGCGCAGAACAAAGCGTCCAAAGAGCACATCTCCAAGATGATGAAGGATCTGGAGAGCCTTCAGAGAGCGGAGCAGAGCCTGAGAGACCTGCAGGAACAGTGAGGAATATCTCTCTTTCTCCATCCTTACACTATGAAGTATCTCAGAGTTCACTGAACATCGTGGAGGGATTTCCACCTATTTCATTTCTGCATAAATGAGTGGTTAAGATGTAAACAGAGTCGTTCGGAGTGGTTTGGTGTGAAATGTTCCGTTCTAGAGAAACTTACCGAGTCATAATTGTTCATAGTGGTGGTGATAGGAACCAGACGTCCACCTCTAAAAGCTCCCTCGCAGAAAGCTGTTGCTTCAAATGGTTAGAATTACGCGGCCTGATGTCTGAGACACTGTTTTACGATTGTTTTAAGAAGATTTTGGCCTTCAAATCTATTCATGGTGGAGGGATACATAATATGCAGGGCATTGTGAGGCAAAATAGTCCCCAAAGAAAACGTATTATTTTAGATTTTCCACTATTTTGCCATCATCAATATCCCATATAAAACTCAGAAGACTCGTGTAGGTTCACTGGTGGTTTTGGATGGTTAATAAAACGGCTGTATTTGTGTTGTAGTCGTGACGGCCCCTGGTTTCTGTCACCACCGCTGTAAAGAAATCTGAGTCTCTACAATCAACCATTTCACACCAAACCACTCTGAATGACTCTGAACCACTGCATTTTTGATCAGGAACATCCCAATCTGATTTAAAATAACTAGGCATATTTGAATGTCTCATTATCAGCTATATAAACCCCTTGAAGTGCCCCGTGAAAATATTTTGTCTGTTGGCGGCTAATGGTAACAGGGCACTGAAATCCATCTTTGCATGTAAGAGCAACTGAAAATACTAAACTAAGCACTAAAAATGTATTATTTCACATAGACAAATTAAAAATGAAGTGATTTTAATGCAGCTTTTTGAAGTAATGTAACGTGACAGAATGAGTCAGACGCTCGTGGGTAAAAAGGGAAAGAGAGGCTTTACAGTTTGAATCGAGATCCAGATTCGTAGTCAATACACAGTCAAGGCACAGGTCAAATCCTAAAAAAGACACAAAATACAAAAAGACAAACATAACAATCGGCAAACAGCCCGAAAGGGTCACGCAAACAGGCAGAGTCGAAAAACAGGGGAAACAGTCTGAACCAGAAATACACAACAACGGAATGAAACACTCAGAAGCTCTGTGAAAAGAAGAGCTACGTCGCAATGAGTATCTCTAAAAGCCCTGGGCTTTATACTAACACTAACTATAAGCAACAGGTGAAACGAATCAGTATTCAGGAGACTGTGAGCGATGCAGAAGGGTCAGGAGTCACGTGATCCCCCAGAAGGTTCTGGGAGATGGAGTCCAAGGAGGGTTGAGGGACAAGTAACTCATTGGTAAACTCAGTAGATCAGGCAGTCAGTTTGGATTATAAGTCAGTGTTACATATGCTGTTTGTGAGTTCAGACCATGCCTTCAACATGTGGTGGTAGTATGAGGGAGAATGATTGAGGGAGGGGGAGAACTCTGAGAACTTGGGCTGGAGTTCTGAGCAGCTTCTGCCTGTAGCTAGAAGGCCAGATCCCCCTCATAGCTGTAGTAGGACTGATGCAGGACTGAGGAATGGGGAGGAGATGGGGTGGCGGTGGGGATTGCGAACACTTCGTCACGGGAACAAAAGGTGAGGATGTGAATCTATAGGGTGTTGGTTTGAAAGAAGGAGGGGTTTCAGCCATGCTCCTCCCCTCAAACTTCAGTTACAACATAACTACATTAAAGAATGATTAAAACAAATCATGTCCATTCAGAGTGTGACACACTATGAATATACTAAAAATGTGACTATATTAAAGCATGACTTAATTAAGCATAATTCATCTCAGTGGTGGTGATGGGAACCAGGGGTCATCGTGACTGCAACACAAATATAGACATTTTATTTACTCTCAAAAACCAGCAGTGAACCTACAGTGTCTTCTGAGCTTTTTATGGAATGTTGATGATGGTTTACTTGTATCCCACGACCACGAATGAAGTTTAAGGCCAAAGTCCTCTCAAACCATCGTAAAACAATGCCTTAGACATCAGACTGAGAATTCATAGCAATTTCATGTAGTAGCTTTCTGTGAGGGAGCTTTTAGAGGTGGACGTCTGGTTCCTATCACCACCACTGTGAACAACTCTGAAAGTTTCTCCAGAACGGAGCGCTTCACACCAAACCACCAACTGTGATTTGTGCACTGTACGGCTGTGTGATCAACCAAAATACAAATATCAGATGAGACTCATTATTGGCTGATACTCAATAATAAAGCACTCAGATCAGAATCAGGGACATAAAAACTGGACCTTACTTTCAACACCGTCGTGTCTGTTTGCGGTGCTGCTCAGGCTGGAGCAAGCTCAGGAGGAGAAGCGCACCGTAGCCGTGGAGAAGCAGTTCTTGGAGGCGAAGATGAAGGACGAGATTGAGGGAGCTAAGGAGGAAGCGAACCGGCTCCATGCCCTCCGGAAAGGAGCCGTCAGCGAACTAAGCCGCCTCCGCTATGCCGAGGAGGAACTCGAACAGGTCAGCGTGGGTGTTGTCTTTACAAACCTCAGTTATTGTTTTGTAATTTCATATTTTTTCCCTGCTCACAGCTCACTGAAACAAGCAAAGGACTTCTGCCAACAGTATGGAGTTAGAATGCCGAATTTTAGATAAGACGAAAACTTGAAACTTGAAAATTCAGTCTCCACTTTAAATTTTGAAATTAAAATTAGAGCACATCTAAAAACTCTTTTTGTTTTAGATATTCTAGTTACCTCTAATAGTCTAAGGTTATTTGCAGCTGTTTAACCTCTAGAAACTGCCAGCAATTGAAAATGCTGTAATTTTAGCTTAAAAATATTTAATGGTTCAGTGAAAAACTGTGTGGAAAAGGTTGAACCTAAACTCTCAATTTATCCCACATTTGTGTTTGTGTGAAAAGAAGAGGAAATATTTTATTATGATTTGAGTTTGAAGTACAGTTACTGTTGTGTGTACAGTCTTATTTTGCCATCCTATTGTTATTTTTGGCCCATTTTTTGCCACAAAGTCACATAATTAAAATCTGTGGATACAAATAAATTTATTATGTTATTACATTGTACTTCTATTGTAATAATTATGTAATGTAAAATTGAATACAAACTGAAAACGTTTTGAGTCACTTCTTATATACGTTCATGTTATTTAATAAAAACTTTATGACATAATAAAAAGCAAACATTGTATAGTAATTTGACTAGCAAAATTTGGTCACCATTTTTTGACTATGATGTATTTTAGATATTAATTAATTATAAGGTCATTCTCAATACTGATTATGATTGAATCATCTACAGCTCTGTCCTTTATTAAATATATCTTAATATTTACAGCTGTTTACAAATTTGTTTACATATATATGGCAAAATTATTTCAAGCTTTTGAACAGTGGCAATATACAACCCCATTTCCAAAAATGTTGGGATGCTGTGCAAAATGTAAATAAAAACAAAATGCAATGATGTGCAAATCATTTAAACCCTATATTTATTTGAAAATAGTACAAAGACAACATATCAAATGTGGAAACTGAGAAATTTTATTGCTTTTTGAAAAATATGTCACCCATTTTGAATTTGATGGCAGCAACATGTTCCAAAAAAGTTGGGACGGGGCAACAAAAGGCTGGTAAAGTTGTGTAATGCTAAAAAAACACCTGGTGGTTTTTTGGCAACAGGTCAGTAACATGACTGGGTAGAAGAAGAGCATCTCAGAGTGGCTGAGTCTCTCAGAAGTAAAGATGAGGAGGGTTCATCACTCTGTGAAAGACTTTGTGGGCAAATAGTGCAACAATTCAAATGTTTCCCAATGTAAAATAACAAAGAACTTGGGAATTTCATCATCTACAGTACAGAACATCAGTAAAAGATTTAGATAATCTGTATGCAAGGAACAAGACTGAAAGCCAGTATTGGTCTGCCAAGATCTTTGGGCCCTCAGACGGCAACACGTTAAAACAGACATGATTCTGCAGTGGAAATCAGTGCATGAGCTCAGAAACACCTCTGAAAGCCACTGTAACATTATGAAACGAAAAATACGACAAAGGAGACCCCGAATTGTTGAGCAGTCGAAATCCTGTATCAAACAAGAATGGAAAACATTTCACTTTCAAAACTACAGCAGTGTCTCCTCAGTTCCCAAACACTAAGGCCCAATCCCATTTCTTCTTTTTACCCCTACCCCTTGTTTTCGAGTGTCACCCTAACCCCTTGGAACTGAGTTACAAGCGGGTAGTGGTTGAAATCTTGCCGTGTGAAATGGGACCCTCAAATTAAAAAAAATAAAAAAGCATTAACAGCTACTAGCGCTGCTCTGTAGGCGACCCTGCCAGTCTGCAGTGACAGCACAGGAGGGTAAAGTTCAGCTCCTCACTGCTTTAGTTCATTTTAGGGCATCATATGCCTTCAAAGAGGGGGGCAATTATTTATTATCGCCCACCACTAATTCTTCAGTGATATGAAGCTGAAGTCAGATATTCACCAGCTTCTTGTTCGAATTTTCCCGTTCCACCTTAAATGGTGCAGCAGTTACATTCTGGCACTTGAGGTGTCTGAACTGCCATCATTTAAGGTGGAACAGGAAAGTTAGCAAGCTAGCTATGAGACATTAGCATGCTATTAGCAATTTTTTTATGCTTGTTGTGAAGAAAACAACCAAAATACATTGAAACGACATTAAACTAAGATAAAACAATGATTATCATAATTTTTAACAGAGAAAATTCTCACATTTGTGGGTTTCTTTGGTCTCTTGTTCAGCCATCTTGCCGTCTCACTCTGTTTGGAGTCTCTTAAAAACCTCTGTTTGGAGAGTCATGTAGCCCTAACACTTGACCCCACCCCTCTATCTCAACAACAATTGGGACACCCTACCCCTAGACGTGAACGCGCAAAACAGAGGGCTAAGGGCTGAGTGGTCGGGGCGAGGGGTGGAATGGGAATAAGCCTTACAGAGTGTTGTTAAAAGAAGAGGTGATGAAACCAACTTTTTTGAAACGTGTTGCTAGCTTTAAATTCATAATGTGCATATATTTGTCAAAGAACAATAAAATTTCTCAGTTTTAGCATTTGATATGGTTCTACTATATAATAAAAATAGGGTTTAAATGATTTGATGAAGTTTCATTTACATTTTGCACAGCGTCCCAACTTTTTTGGAAATGGGGTTGTAGAAAAACAACAATAACTCTAGATTTCTAAGGGTTGATACCATTGAATTGTTGCAGATGTTCATGTTTACATATGTGTATATGAACAATACCTAAGAATTCATGTCTTCATTGTATCTGTTTAAATCCTAAGTATGGAGATAGACTGTGGTGATGAAGGGTGAGACAGGTATCATCTGTCTAATGAGTGTCTGGTGTGGGTTGGCTCAGGTTCGTGGAGCGCTGAAGAAGGCCGAGCAGGACATGCAGGCCAGCTGGTCTGTGCCGGAGTCTCTACAGCTGTGGCTGCAGCTCTCCCATGAGGTGGAAGTGCAGTATTACAACGTGAAGAAGCAGAGTGCTGAACAGCAGCTGGCCACCGCCAAGGACGAGGTACCAACCTGCCGGGTTTTAGCATTTAGGGTTATTTTTCTTCCTGCCTTGCATTTAGCGATGCTTCAGCCTTAGCATTTATCGGTAATTGGTCTCATCCATGGTGGGACCACTGAACAGTCTTTATTCTCATGGCTGTAAGGCTGGACTGGGATAGTGGGGGTCATCTCCAGTCAGGGGAACAAATATGGTCTGACAAGTTGGGGGGAAGAGAGGCCATAGCGCCCACACAGTGCTAGGACCTCAAGATGACATCATCACATGTTGATATTGGGCTGATACGAATATCCCATCGATACTGATATGCCATCTCTACCAGCGCCACTCCAGAATTGCAGATCTTAGTACAGCGATTTATCATATTTTCATAATCGAATGCTTTATGAATGTCAACATTAAAACACCAAAGCAAACAATATTATTAACACAAATCACATTTGTGTAGACAGATAATGGGTCATTCTTCATTTGGAGGGGAAACCATGTCACAAAGGTTACAGGGCTTAAAAAGATGCTTAAAATATCAGGCAGAGCTCCAAAAGTTGGCATGTACGTTTACACAGTTGACCTAATATTAAATAATAATTTTCCCTTATGATTCTCAGAATTTTCTTTTTTTTATCCTGTTCCATAGTCGCTCTGCATCTGTAAAACAGCTCATCACAAAACCAGTTTTCAAGCCATTTTTAATATAAAACAATACTTTTCAGAGGTTTAACTTAGAAATTTATATAAACCAGATTCATGTTTACTTTTTATATTATTAACGTTAAACTACATCTAAAAAAAATATGTATTTTATTTTAAAAATTCATTTGTCACAGATATTTTGGTCACTGGTGTTATCAGGACTCTTATTTTACATTTTAACACAGTATTTTCAACTCTATTAAACTGTTTCTTTGGGTCGAGGCTCATCAGAGAGGAAGCGTCTCAAATGATGAGAAGGCAAATCCACACCTACTCACTATATTTCATTAATTTATTAATAATTTTGTTTATCAGGCAGCACAAAACTTCTGTGTCACCGGTGTTTTGTGCTTTAATGGCTGGGTAATTATATTTTTGTCAAAATAATATCATTTATTATTTTTATTACTGATTTTAATAGTTGCACAATGTCACCTGATCAACAACGAGTCAGCAGATATACAAAATCCTCAGTTCTAATCAGAATGTCAGTGGAGTCACCGTCACTGGTGTTACACCATATTCATACAACACCAGTGACTGTAAAATATGTTTGGAATTAAGCTCTCCTTGGTGCATGTATTATAATAGGAGATGTTAATGGACATATTAAGATTATTTCATTTTGGAATGAAAAAAATAATTTTTTTTTAAAAATGTGTCCACCTGAATTCTCACTCCAGATGGAGAACGGCCATGATAATTGTGTAATGTTGATACTATCAAAAGGTTTAAAAGGTTTTACTAAGCATGTTCTGCTTATTTGGCATTTTAATCAAAGCAAATCTGTCTTTGTGCTTGTGTTTACATGTGATTGCGTCTCAAGGCTGAGAAGATCAAGAAGAAGAGGAGCTCTGTTCTGGGCACCCTCCATGTCGTACACAGTTCCTCTTTGGATCAGGTGGACCACAAGATCTTAGAGGCCAAGTAAGGAGGAGAGAATGCGCCTGTTTTTTTGTGTTCAAGAAAGTAATTTTCCCCAAAAAAGAGAAAATCAAACAAAGACAGAAAACAAAGGGAAAAAGCTCAGAATAGGGAATATTCCCCCCAAAAAACATGCTTAAATAGGCCAACAATCAAGTTCAAACAGATCAACACAGGGAATAACTAATATTGAGGCAACAGTGGCCTCTGGAGGCGAGGAGGGGTATCTCCAGACACTGATATGAGGCTGACATAGGGTATCTGTGCCACGTCATGACAGAAATGCGTGTGAAACTAGGGGGCAACCGCAGAAAAGATGGTTGGAGAATGTTTAATATCCTGAGAGGACCACATCCCTTCGCCAAACACTGCAGAAAATTATGGATCCTGGCCATCACAAGGGCAAATTGGGGTCCCGACAGGACGAAAGTCTGTACAGCGTCCTTTTCATTTTCGAACGTCATGGTTTTTTGATAGAACGATTGGCTATTAACACACCTAAAGTGTAGTTTTGATACTGGCCTTTAATTTTTTTTTCAATTTCCATTTGCTAATATGAGCTAGTGAAGTCTTGGTCTTGTTCAGTAGGTCATAGCCTCACTAACTGGCCCACAAAATCATGACCACCATGCTCATGATATTGTCACATAAGGAGAGAATAGACAGGCTTAACAAACAACTAAACCAGGTTAAATTGGGCAAAATTCATAGGACGTGTCAGCAAGCTTTAAAGTCTGTTGTGATTTGGATAGTTCCTGTTAGCTAAACATTTAGTGAAGAGCAAACGTAGTGGGGTGTTTATCACAGAGATCTGATGACTAGCTAAAACTGATAGTTGACTATTATTAGCTGAAGTTTTACATACCAGAAATGGCCGAAAATATATTTTTTAAGCATTATTTGCACAAGTTCAGCCATCAAAAACCTTAAAAAATATCTTTTTTTCTCCCTCACAATTTTTTTTTCGACAACTCTTTGGCTGATGTAACATGCTAAGTGGCCAACACTTAGTATGTTACACCAGCTTTGACCAGTAGGGGGCAGCATTTTTTTTCTGGGGTGCTAACTGACTAACAATTAGCAAGCCATACTGACTTTGACCACAAGAAAGCAGTTAGAGTTATAGCTATAGTACACCAAAAGGGCTGGGAAATAATGTACCTCTCATACATGATCTCCTACTGTCAGACTTAACAAGTTAATGATTTCTTCCAGATCTGTTATAATTAATATTCATAAAAAAGAACCACTGAACAATTTGATTGCCTCTGTTGCCTTTGGTTTAGCAGTCTGTTGAACAGAACTGGACAAAGCTGATAAAGCATGCTAATTGTTAGCCATTTAGCTCCCTAGTAAAATTTTTTTCACCTGGTCCTCAAAAAATTAAGAGCGAGAAAAAAAACAGGTGCCCCCTGCTGGTCGAAGTTGGTGTAACATGATGAAACAAGTTTTTTTTTGCATAAAGGACAAAAATGTGAGGAAGAAAGAAAGTTTTTTTTTTAAACATAATGATATAATAATTAAATATAATGAAACATTGGAAATAATTATACAGTGACAGGTCATGCAGAGAGCAATAAATATACAATACTGGTGGTATTGCTGAGACATTAACTATTAAATGGTGCAAATAGACATTAAAAAATAAAGTGCAATAGATAGAAACTTGCAAGTGGCTTGTTGAAGTCCAAGCTCAATAAATGAAAGCAGTTCAAAACACCTTTAACATTCTTAATGTAACTGATAACAGGAATGCACTGGCGGAGGTGACAGCATGTTTGCAGGAGCGCCTGCACAGGTGGCAGCAGATCGAGTGGTTGTGCGAATTTCCTATCATGAAGAATGCTGGACTGCCGAGCCTCACGGCTACCCTGTACCCAGATCCTAACTGGATGCTCCTGCCTAGAGCCGCCATGTCCTCCTACCAGATACCTGCAGGCGTGGATGACATGGAGGAAAGCATGCCCCCCGTCATGCCGCAGATTCCTGGTGCGTTTGTTAAGTTTTTTGCGATTGTGGTCACTGTATTTCAGTTGTAGACTAACTTATATATGTTTTGTCTGAAGTCACTGTTACTCCAATCAAGCTGTCCCCTCGAGCGCTGGTCCGTTCCCGTCGAACCAGCCATATCGTCCAGCAGCCTGTGATTCTGTCACCTGATCCTGACCTGCTGATCCCGATCCGGGGCCCGATTCCACGATACGGAGAGGAGGAAGGGGAACACATCATCTTCCCAACTCTTATGAAACAGTAAATTATGATTTTATTGGATAGTCAACAGTGTTCTTCATTGATAGCTGCAGTTGTTTGCAGTGACAGCAGTGGTAGGGCTGTTCTGTTCCAGAAATTCTGGAGTTGACTCCCATTACAACTTCATTGGAAACGATCAGGTCCATTCCAAGAGTCAATTTCGCACAAAAACTTTCTTCACATGAGCACTTTTACATGGTAATATTACAGTAATTAGACAGGAAGTGGTTAAGTATGGCCACAAGCCAGAGTCAAATAGCCAGAAAGACTGATATGGGAATTTACCTGAACAAGATCTAGTACAATTCCAGGGAAATTCCTGGAAGGGCTCTTGTGAACAGAAATTGATACATTATGAGAAAAAGAACATGTTGATTACAACCAACAAAGTGAAATGTTTCTCCATCACTTATTTTTACATTATTGAGATGAACATGTCAACATCACTGTGTGGAATTGAGTCAAAACGTTTTGGATTGCTTGGAATCCGAAAGGTTTTTGGGGTCGACTTCCAGCCCTAACTAGAGGTTTTGAGTTGAACACAGAGGTAGAGAGACTGTGCAATTGTCGAGGTATTATGAAAGCCTGTAAATTTAACTGAATACTTTCATTACATAAAGTATGTAATGAAGGTATTTAAAACACTGAAATCATAATTTTAATATATTGCCATTTTTGAATGGGCTTTTACAGTAGTTCTCTCTTTTGTCTCCATGTGTATAATAGGGAGTGCCTGGAGACATCTTCAGACACTGACACTATTGGATCCACCATTGGCAGAATCTCTACAGGCACTGACTTGGATACTACCCGAAGACTATACCGCAAAGACATGGACCGTTTCTCTGGTCGCATCGCGCGTAAGGTCTCTTTTGAGGAACAGGAGGAAACTCCGTCACGCAAGACATCACGAGAGGAACTTGGGGACTCTCTGAGGATCAGCCCTAGAAAAGTTTTCCATGAAGTACTTGATGAAACCCCAGTCACAAAGACATTCAGAGAGGAGCTGGAAGCACCTACAGTAGCTCTGACAAGTTCTATGGGTACAGAAGAACCTGATTCTAGGAAGATTTCAAAGAGTTTTCAAATTGATAACACTGATTCTTCTTCAAGACCATCAGCCCGAGACAAGTCAGAATCTTTAGTGGAACTGTATTCTGGAATGAGACACAAGGATGAAACTGACCTAAGTCTGGCAAGTCAAAGATGCATGATGTTTAGGGAGAGGAAGGATCTCTCAGTAGATAATCTCTCCAGAATGGTGCCAGGAGATGAACGTGATATTGATGTCCGAAGTGGAAATGCAGGTCCAGATGTCAGTGCTGAAATGGACACTACTCCAAAGATGATTCATAGTGAGAACACTGATCTTTCAAGGGAATCTCTAGCAGGAAATCTATCAAAGGACATGTCGTTGGAAGGTGCATCTAGAAAACTCTCAAGAGATGAGTTTGATATCTCAGTGGATGTGCAAATGAAGCTATTTAGAGAGAACAAGTTACCCAGGGAGGACTCTGACACTGGACAACTCTTTAGAGGTGCTTCTGTGGATAGTGCTTCTCGGAACAAGATGCGTGGGAAATTGGACAAGTCACTGGAGAGCAGGAGAGGAATGTCCTTAAGAGAGAGAAGGGGAGATACCACTTGGAAGCTTTCTAGAGAAGAGCGTGATGTTGGCCCAGAGAGACGACGATTCTTCCAGGATATGAGGTTGGACAATACTGCAGACACAACCACAGATAAAATCCAGAGAGGTATCTTGGAGATGCCTTTGGAAGCTGCCAGACGCAAGGTATCCAGAGAAGAGTTTGTGGTTCCAGAGCCAGGCTCCTTAAGCCAGCCTGACCTGACTGTAAGCTCCCTGATGCTCTGGGCTCCACCTCAAGAGCCACTTAGCCATTTAGTATATGATGGCATTCTAGAGAAGTCTTATAAGAACCCTCTAAATGCACCTGGCCCTGCAGAGCTCAGTCATGCTGGCTCACTGCCCTCAATGTCCACCTCCTCCCAAAGCCTTGCGAGTAATGAGGGCTCTGGCAGCAAGTGTTCTCGTTCTGAAAATGCTTCACCGCCAGAATCCCGCAGTGGAGACAAATGTAAGAAATCCTCCAAGCTCAAGAACCTATTCAAGAAAAAGAAGGAAAAGGAGAAAGAAAAAGATGTACCTGGAGATCGTTCACAAGGGGGCCTGCAGAAGCTATGACTGCCTGGAAGCAATTACAATAAGAACTCCATATACTTAGGCACTACTTATATTAATGGGGTCAGAGTAACTTAGGAAATTCAGAGCATGATTTTCAATGCATCAGTGTCCTCTTGATCTAGATGGTAGTGAGACAAACCATGTCTTGTTTCTTGCAGGATTTTGCCTCTATGCTTTTCACTAGGCTGGGTTTGAGGAGTTTTAGCACATGTGAGATCCAGAGTGATGTGCATCACATTAAGATGCATTCCTCATCATTAGTTTCTTTAGGGATGCCACATCATAACAGTGCTGACATCCAGTCAAGATGGGCATGAAAAAATGGGGATCTCAGTACATTAAAAGTAATTTATAGCAGGTAGTTAGCACTTGCTCAAACACTTTATTTCAAAGCTGCCTACATAAGGACTTCATAACACATTCATAATCATTGAATAACATATTCACAAACAATTCTTGAACAGCTACAGCTAATCAGTAATCACAAGATGACAAGATTTTTTTAAATAAATGACATTGCATTCACACGAAGGACCTTACCTTTAAGTATATACTTGTGTTTATTTCTGTTTAACTGGTTGATTGTTTACCTGTTTTATTATAATTAAAATACTTAAATTGTGTTGTGAGGTAGGATGTAGAGCTCAGACAGTTTGAGCTTCTGTTTATTCATCTGATGACATTATTTATTGATCTTCAAACGTACACTTGACTTAGCACAATTGTCCTAAATATTAAAAAAATAAAATTCTAAAGATTGTGATTTATTTTTGTTGGCTGATAAAGACTTCTGTCTTTTTCTTTGTCCAGTCTCACAATTTGCAAATTCATCAGTGACCACTAGACCTAAAGAGGGCTTGAAAGTGATGGTTATTTGTTTCATTTCATGAACACAGTTAAGAAGTTTCATTCCCTAGTAATGGAACTTCTATTTAGTGCTTAGATAAGAGCACCATATATCAGTTCTATGGGAGATTTGGAGGCCTTTGAGTGATCATTTTCATATGCTTCAAAAACATGTAATTAGTGGGACAACAAACACTTAGCTTAGTTTAAGGCCACTTATGTCAGTACAATGTAATTAACTTCGTATAACTTCTCATGTCATCTTGTGATTGTCATACGCTGTTCATAAATACTTAATTACTGCTTTACAAATGTGTTATTCAGTGATTTAGCATTTGTTATGAAGTCTTTATGTAGGTAGGGTTCAAATAATGTGTGACAGTAGTTTAGTAATTATTAGTGAATGTAAAAATCTTGAAAGCAGTTTAAAAGTGTCTTATGTCAAGAAATATCTGTATGCGCTAATATGAATGATATTTGATCTTGATTATATTTCTACTCGTGCTTTGTAGTTTTGTTCCATCAGTGGGATGCAACATGACAAGGCCAACTTAGGAATTTACTTTGAAAGAAAACATCAAGTCTTAAAAACTGTTTGAAGGTCCTTGCTACATGGAACGGCCTTGAGACAAATGTCTAGTGTCTGGCCAGAGTTTGCGTCAGATGAATTTGCAGTTTCAGGAACATTTTTTTTTTGAATATGTGAAATCATTTCCTAAAGTACTGATTGAAGCATATGCACTGATATGAAAGGGTAGAATGTGAATATTGTCTATCCTCTCTCTAAGATTCATTCAAGTTTAACTTTATATTTTATGCTAATCTTAAAGTGAATACTTTTCCAGTATATTTTAATGCACTGTTCAAACACACTTTTAATTTTTTGAGCCAACAAAAACAATTTACAACTGGCTAAGTTTACCTTTAACTAAATATTTGTGTTAATTTCTGTTAACTGGTTGATTGTTACCTGTTTTATTATAATTAAAATACTTAAATTGTGTTGTGAGGTAGGATGTAGAGCTCAGACAGTTTGAGCTTCTGTTAATTCATCTGATGACATTATTTATTGATCTTAAAACGTACACTTGACTTAGCACAATTGTCCTAAATATTCAAAAAATAAAATTCTAAAGATTGCGATTTATTTTTGCTGGCTGATAAAGACTTCTGTCTTTTTCTTTGTCCAGTCTCACAATTTGCAAATTCATCAGTGACCACTAGACCTAAAGAGGGCTCCTCTGGAGCTTTTGGCAGTCAGAAGAGTGTTTTAAAATAATTAAAAGGCAAACAGAAAAGGAAAGTTATAAAATATTCACAAAGTTTGTTGCTGCATCCACAAATGCAAGTTAAAACTCTAAAACACAAAGAAGAAACTATACGTGAACAGGATCCAGAAATGCTGCCACCTTATCTGGGCCTGGGCTCATTTAAAATGGTCTAAGGTGAAGTGGAAAATTTGTCTTGTGGTCCGACGAATCAACATTTGAAATTCTTTCAGAAAATCATGGACACTGTGTCCTCCGAGAGAAAGACCACTCAGCTTGTTAACAGCATACAGTTCAAAAGCCAGCATTCATGATGTTACCGGGGTGCATTATTGCGCAAGGCATGGGTGACACGCACATCTGTGAAGGCACCATTAACGCTGAATGATATATACATGTTTTGGCAACATATGTTGCCATCCAGATGACGTCTTTTTCAGGGAAGCCCTTGATTATTTCAGCAAGACGATGCCAAACCACATTCTGCATGTATTACAACAGCATTGCTCCATAATAAAAGAGTCCGGGTGTTAAACTCGCCTGCCGGAAGTCCAGACCTGTCACCAATGACAACATTTTGCATACTATGAAATTAAAAACACGACAAAGGAGACGCTGAACTGTTGAGCAGCTGAAGGAATGGGAAAACATATCACTTTCAAAACTACAGCAGTGTCTCCTCAGTTCCCAAACATTTACAGAGTGTTGTTAAAAGAAGAGGTGATGAAACACAGTGGTACAGTGCTAAACATGCCCCTGTCCCAACATTTTTGGAATGTGTTGTTGGTATCAAATTCAAAATGGGCATATTTTTCAAAAAACAATAACATTTGTAGAATTTCCCTTTAAAAATAGGGTTTACATGATTTGCATATCATTGCATTCTATTTTTATATACATTCCACACGGCGTCCCAACTTTTTTGGAAATGGGGTTGTACTTTAATAATAATACATACACCCACTTCCAGCAACTCATACTCATTTTAAGAAATGAGTGGCCCTTAGCGGCCCTACAAAATTGATTACTCTGCACCTGATTGTCCATGTTATCCATTTTATTTTAATCTTTTTTAAAAAAGACAAAGAGATGTTTAAAAAAAAATGTAAATGTAAATATGCAAATGAGGTAGGCTGGTGTTTGATTTCAAGCGCTGAAGCTGCTTAATCAGATGCACTCAAATCTCCACTTTTACACATCGTACAAATGTTTCATAAGTCAGATGCAGAGGAATCAATTCTGTAGCCAATTCTGTTCTTTTTTACACAACTTTGATGAACAAGGGCCACTGTGTCTGAAAACAAACACATTCAAGGTGCATTGAATTGCCAGACGTAACACCTTCATGTCTCTAGGTGGATGTTGATACCGGGCATGAACGAGCCATAGATGCAGTCAAAATTAAAAAAAGACTTGAAACATAGACTCATGCAATACTGTGTAAAAGCCAGAGACCATCATATAATTCATTTATTTCCAGTAAAAATGGTCACAAGTTATAACTTTTTCAGAGTCAGGACAGAAAACACACATTTAGCAGAAAAACACACAGAAGCCTCAAATACAAAAGATCCTTTTTTCAGTATTTAGTGTGTCCACACCTTTATTACAGCTCCCATTTTTTTTTCAGAAGACTCACTTTAAGATTTCCAAAGAAATCTACAGAGATATTATCCCACACCTCTAAAGTTCATCCTTCATAGTTGGTTGCATTTTCTTCTTCTCCTGATCCAAGTACTACCAAACACCTTCAGTAATGTTGAGGACTGGGTTCTGGGGTGGTCAGTGTGAGGCAGCTTCTTTGTTTGATAAGTATGTCTTGATGTTTTTTCAGTAGTGTGATTGAGATCATTATCTTGCCATAGAATTAAAAGGATGAGTGTTTCAAAGCATTTAGTGATGCTGGGGTTAAAGCAATTGGGCGATAGTCATTAAGGCAGCTCACTATACTTGTCTTTGGTACTGGGATGGTTGTGGAACTATGGCTGAGGAATGAGGGTGGCCGTGACAACCACCACCTACCTGACTGGAGGCATCAGAAGGTGAAACCCCGGAGGCCTCCTGGTGCTGGACAGGAACCGGGCCACTGGAACGAACTGGACAGGAACTGGAGAAACTCCTGGGGCATCCTCTAGGACGTGGAGCTGGCCTTTCCGGATGCCTAGTGTGGAAGTCTGCCACCAGCAGAATGTCTTTTGCTGGTACCCAGCTCCTCTTCTCTGGTCTGTATCCCTCACACTCTATGAGGTACTACAGGGTTCCACCATGTCCCGGAGAGTCCAGCACCTGACACACGGCGTAGACTGTTGTGCCCTCTACCACCAGCGGCTCGGGTGGCTCTCCATCTGGCAGCGCCTCATCCAAAGGCCCAGGGATCACCAGCTTGAGGAGCAACCATAAAATGAGGGTGAAATACAGAATTGATCAGGTAGATTGAGTCTATATGTAACTTAATTCTTTTGATAACTTGGAACGGACCAATGTACTTTTTTTTTATGACGCAATTTACGACTACCCTCTCCAAACCTGAGGCTGATAGGAGAGGATCTCCCCACGGCGCTTGTCAGCTTGCTCCTTGGCACACTGGAGAACCTCCTCGATGTTACAACTTGTCTGTTCTGAGACCTCCTCGCTGCGTCTGGGATCCAGTCATCAAAGGCTCACACTGAAATGGGGAGAGTTGAGTAGCGGAACAGATTAAAGAATTTTGAGTGATCTCGGCCCAGATGAGAAATTTAGTTTAATTTAATAAGAAAAGCCTTTTAGAATTTCCCTAACTCTTGCTTTTCCCTAACTCTTGCATTGTCCATTCAATTGTGGATGGTATCCAGAGGTCAGACTAACATTTATACCAAGATGTACACTTGGAAACAGACACTCGCAGACAAGGCTACAGTTAAGATCCTTAATAACAATGGGATGATCCAAAATCACAGTCGAAAAGCCAGAGCAAAAAGTCAAAAACCAGAGATCCAAAACAAGACAAAAGGGCAAGGCAAAAATCAAGGTCAGAACAGAAAAACAGGTCATATGTGGAAGTCGATAAACAGGCAAGGAAAGAACGCTCAGTATGCTCATGCTAAGATGATATTTTGCAATGATCTAAACTAAAGCCTGGGCTTGTATAGTAAACCAACAAAGACGTGAAATGAGAAACAGGTGTGTGTGTTTAGGAGTTCGGTGAGGATGATCATTGATAGGTTGGTCTGTTGGAGTTCTGAGTCATGTGAGGCAGCGAGGGGTTCTGGGAATGAGAAATTTAGACCAGTCCTTTAGGTTGCTGATACAAAAAGAATTTCCCTAACTCTTGGTTTACCCTTTCGCATTGTCTATTTGATTGTGGAAGGTATCCAGTGGTCAGATTAACATATATACCAAGATGTTTGCAGAAACCGGACCACACTCATGATGTGAAATTGGGAACTTGAGAAATTGGGTCTGAAACAATGTCCTCAGGGATTCCAAAGTTACAAAATATGTGAGTGTACAGAACCACTGTGTGTCGAAAGCAGAAGGCAGGGATTTAAAGGGGAACACTTAATACTTTGAGAAAAAAGATTGATTATGGTGAGAATGGTGGAATACACTTCTGAAGGTGGTAGGTCAGTAAAAAAGTCTATGACGATGTGGGACCAGGGATGTTCAGGAACCGGGAGTGGCACGAGCTTGCCGGCAGGTAGAGTTTTAGGGTTTTACTTTGGGTGCATATGGAACAGGATGACACAAACAGAACATTCTGCCTTAATGTCTCCCACCAACAACAATTACACAGCAATCGCTGCATTCTAAACTCCCCAGGATGACCTGAGCTTGGGGAAGAATGTGCCCACATGATCAAACGATCATGGAATTGGGTCAGAAGGTAAAGTTTCTCTGAGGGACAGCTGTCAGGAACAGTGAGGTGTTCTAATGCTTGTGAGATCTCCTCATCAATCGCCCAACAAACAGAGGATGGCAAAATGGGCTCTGGCTTGGGTGTGACCTCTTGGTGGATACGGGATAGAGCGTCTGCCTTAGAGTTTCTGGATCCAGGATGGTAAAAAATGCTAAATTGAAAATGAGAAAAAAATAGTGACCAACAGCCTTGTCTGGTGTTAAGGCGTTAGCAGTGTGGAGATATTCTAAATTCTTATGATCAGTAAGGACCAGGAAAGGATGAGCTGCACCCTCCAGCCAATGACGCCATTCCTCAAGGGCTAGTTTCACTGCTAAAAATCCACGGTCACTGATGCCATAGTTACATTCTGCTGGCGAGAGCTTGTGTGAATAAAATGCTAACAAATTCTCAGGTGTACCACGGCGTTGAGACAGCACAGCACCTACTCCAGTCTCAGAAGCATCTACCTCTACCACAAATGGCCTGTAAGGATCAGGGTGTTTTAGAAATAGGGCTGATGTGGTTGTCTTAAGATTCTGAAAGGCCGCCTCAGTGGCCAGGGTCCAAATCAGTTTTTTGGATGCTCCTTTCAGGAGGGGGTTTGAAGTGATCCTCAGTCGCAACTCGTCCATTTTGTTGTTAAGCGACCGGGTGTTGGTGAGAAAATGACTTAGGGATGGCTGGTTTACAGGGATTAGCTTGTAGCTTAGCTAGTAGCCCCCCTCTCTTGCCCCTCTTTGGCTTTCTGTGCCTCGCCGCCTGCACCATCTCAGCGGGGAGAATGTGAGCTCTCGGTTTGCGGGGGAGCACTGGAAAAAAAAAGCGTTTGACTGTAACAGTGGCAAGACGGAGACAGATGCTCACAGACGAGGCTGTCGGAGTCCTGAGTCATGTGAGGCAGTGAGGGGTTCTGGGAATTGTGACTTGCCATTGTCAAGTTGAAATTAGCCTGGATGTCCTTGAAAAAGACACTGTCTAGACGAATCCAATATGTGTATATAT